CCCGCTCCCCCGAGGGCAGCCGAGCTCCCTTCCCTGTCTGCTCCTTGTGACAGGGATTCCCGGAGCTGCTCTAGGGTACTGAAACACATCCATTAGTCATTCCTCCCGCTCTGCCCAACAGCAGACAGCCAAATTTCCCTCCGTGTAACAGCTGGCAGCACCATTTAGTCTCACTAGGTTTGGAAAAGAAAGGGGAGAGCAGCCCCTGGGACAGTTGCAGGCACATAAAGAGCAGTGCCAGCCCACCGTGCTCGCAACAGCACATGCCACCAGGGATGGACGGGAGAGAGGACAAACCATGAAGCACCAGGCTAACCCAAGCCTTCCCTTCCTGCAGCCACACCTGTCCCATTCCTAAAGGCATTGTCACAGCAAGACCATGAAGAGATGAGCTTCCCCTCAATGACCAGGAGCTGCTGAGAAGCTGCCAGAGCTGTGGGCTGAGGCCATGGCATCAGCAGGCCATGCTCTGCCCTTTGAGACGAGCTCCCCAGACACACATCAAGCTCTGGGGTGAAGCTGTCACCAGATAACAGCAAATTTCAGGCTCACATACCACTGCTTACAACTTGGACCATCCCACACTGGTGTTTCTATGAAGAAGAGGCATAGAAAAAAAAATACAATATTAACTGCAAGAAAAGCTAAGTATGTACATGCAGCAGAGGAGCTGCAAAATACCTGCAGGACAAGTGAGAAGGACCAGCTGCCCACTACAAAGCTAATTTCAAAAGGCCTGGCTTTTATTCAGCCCCAGGAAGGAATGGGCACTTCGGTGAAGGACTCAGCAGAACCCAGAAGTGCTGCTTGACAGAGCCAGCCCTCTAAAGCTTCAATCAGATTTTGGCTCAAGTTGCTTTTTTTTTTTTTTTTTTTTTTTTTTTTTTTAAAGCTAAGCTTTCAGACTACTCAGTCATGCTTTAAAGGTTCTTGCTGCATGATTAAGGGCTAGAAATTCCTATTTTCTCAAAGCAAAATTAGAGATTTTTGTTTTCTGGTTTTTGGGTAGACCAAGGCATCTTAAAACACCTTGTAGTAACAGAAGGGAAATCACTGAGGAAGCAGTTGAAGCTACCCCACTCTTCTACTGCACAGCGTTTCTGCACTTAGGAGCCCAAAGATGTCAGAACTGCCCTAAGAGGATGCAGAGTTCAGCACTATGTCATTATTTACTTAGCAGCTCTTCCTAATTACACAGGACACTTCTGAACCAACAGCACACTTTGTTTAGTTAATACCTTTTGTTTAAAGATTAATACCTCCTGCAGATGTGGGCATTCAGAGAGCCTTCAGTGACCTTGAACATACCCACACAAGCACTGACACTGCGTGTGCACCAAGGCAGCACCACCCAGAGCCCATCTTACTTCTTCACTCTGGCAGAAGTCGTCCCGTTTTCCCCCAGAAACTGCACAGGCAGAGGAGCCACTGCACTCAGTCAGCCCTTACCCGGCCTGGGGCTGACCTCTAGTGGCACAGCACTGCTCACCTCCCTTCCCAGTCTGCAGCAGTTCAGGTCTTTCTACCCTATTTTTTTTTTTAATTGCCTCCCGGATCTCGGTCTGCTTTCCATAGCTTGGGAGGCTGCAATCCTAAACCCTGCAGGCACAGGTCTGTGGTGAGTAATGAAAGAGACTGAGAAGAAGCAGCATGGTCTTGAAAGGTTTCTCAGCCCCACAACAGGGCTGTGGCTGCTGCCTGCAAGCATTTAGGAACAGCAAAGGAAAACTCAGAAGCAAGGTCAGGGTGCACTTTGAGGCTCAGTATTGCAGGTAACAGTCACGCAGCAACAGCCCTGAATTCAGAATGCAGAAACACAGCTATTTAAGAGCAGGGAACTGGAAGGGAGAGGTGGGACCCAAGTATACTCTGCCAGGAGATGATGACACTCACAGGTAAATTTGCATGGCCACATAGTTCTAAGATACAAGGTACTGCCAGGGAAATGACAAAAAAAACCCAAGAGTAACACCAGAGGATTTCACACAGATGTTTGTCTCCATTTCTTCTCAAGGCCTTGCAGGTCAGAAGAGTTCAGGTACTGCCAATAGTAAAAAAACAAAAAAAAACCCAACACCACAAACCTTGATACAGCTCATGCCTCCTTCAACAAATTCCATCATCTGCTGGGATGCTCCCTTGCTATCCACACGTGTATAACAGACTGTGCTGACACACACTAGGCATGGCAAGCCGGTTCTTTCTGAAGAAGTAGATGTCAGGAAGAATGCAAAGCTGGATAAGGCATCCAAGGTGACAATGGTTTAGTAAAAAGACTGGAAGGGAGGAGGAAGAATACAGCACTCAGGATTCCCCTACTATCAGTTGACAACAGCTCACTCAAGTCTACGGGTCTTAATACTTGAAGGGTTGTATTTGGTGTTACAGAGCAGGCTGACCAAAGCCAAAAAAAAAAACACCTAAAAAACCCAGAGTGCATTAATTAAAACTAATTAAGTGAGCAAATGCTGTTTCAGCCTTCATAAAGCCCTCACTGAGCAGAGTCCACCCCCTCACTTTTCCTTTGGTTAACTGAAGTAAGCCCTGAAGACCACAGAGTATTCCTCCTGCCTGTTGGACATCCAACAAAAAGTTAACACTTGCTTTGCATTTTCCACTAACCACCACTACAAACACCAGAACAACCTCTTGAAACAGTCTTGCTTTGATCATCCAAGTTTCTTTCCTCATCAGGCAACCTGGCAAGCAAATGTATTGTTAACCTAAGAGCATCCGACTCCATTAACATCAAAGATAGGGTAGGAAGATGCCTGTTCAGCTGATCAGAAACAAAAGCCTCTTTAGGCACAAAAATAGCAATGCCTCCCACCCAAGAAAAGGGACTGTCTCTCCTGACTTTGCCTAGAGTGGTAACAGCATCAAGGAGAGGATAGGAGATTCATTCCTTCATGAAATAAAAGCAGAGCCACCAGCATCAGTGTTAACAACTTGAGATCAAAGTGATTTCAAAGCAGCTGAATCGTAACAGGTTTCTCACAGTAAGAACTCTAATCACCAAGCCATTTAGAGACATTTCTCTTCCTACAAACTGAAACAGGAGGACTTTGAAGATCAAGTAGAATTTCCCAAATGTTAGGTCACTTAAGTATAGGCAGGTAAGCTCTAAACACATTCACTGTGTTTACTTTGTTACTAGAACCCTTAAGCTAAATTTTTTGTCCAGCTAAATAATGAACATAGCTGAGATGCAAAGAAGTGTTTTTATTGCAAGCACAGCAGGGAGTGGGTTGCATCTCACAAGTGTGGCAGAGGGCAGATTTAAACCATCCACCCTTCTGTTTTCAGTGCTCACTGCTCTCAGGTGTACATCATTTCTGCCATGTGAGACATTTTCTTTGGAATATACAAGTAGTATTCCATGTATCCTGAAAGATCTTCAATAGTCACATCATCCACAAAGGCCCTGGCTTGCTCAGAGCAAGAGCGTGGAGAACTTGAGGGAGTTCTTGATGGCAAAGACTGGGACTGATCCTCAGAAACTGTTCTTCTGTCAGGTGCCAGTGGGAGGGCGTTCTGCAAGCCAGAGAATTTGTACACTTGCATATCTTGCCACCGTTTACACTGACAGGCTTTACCTGCACATGCACACAGCTTGTTCGTGCTCAGCTTGGACATGGACTGAAAGTCAGAAAGCTCTGTCATCTTCAGGCTTGCTTTGGATACCAGAGAAATGGCAGCTGGAGAGTTCTCCTGCCTGTTCTCTGGTGCTGACTGTGTAACAGAAGCTCCCAAAGACTCAACACCAACTCCCTTCTGGCCAACGTCAGGAGCAACACTGCATCGTTCATGGTCACAAGCTTCCTTTGGGACTGGCATCCCAAACCCACTGCTGTCATCCTGGGCATCAATCTGGCTCCTGTGTACTAGCTGGCTGCATGTGGGATTTGACTTTGTGCTGCAATGGATAAACTTTGGAGGATGAAGAATTGGAGACTTGGAACGCCTGCGACGCTGGGTTCTCACAGCTCCTCTTGAAGGTTTCTTCATAGTCCTACCAGGGAAAGATAAAAAAGAGTGAAGATTCTCTTCATTGCTATATTACAAATACCACTGGGCGGAACCTCTGCTGCATTTATATTGCACATAAGAGCTTTAAGCTCAGAGTATTTGCTCAGGGTATTCTGGCATCTTGGAATCCAACCTTGTTCTAGTCAAGCAACTGCTTTTATTAGCAACTTATAGCTGAACATCATTTAATTTCCCTTCACATAATTGTAAGTAAGAACAGTGGTCATGGAAAAAGGTGGTGTAGAGTAGCTGAAATATTCCTTTATTAAAGAAAACTTGGGTACCTTGTTTAGGGGTGTAGTTACTAGAAACCTTGTCTATTTTAAATTCCCTTTCAATGCAGTACCATATGAGGTAGTCTGATAATCCCAAGCTTCTCTTACCCATGCCAGGTTTCCTTGGAAGTACACACGTTCTTAGGCTTGGTTTCATCTGCCACTGTTCTACCTAGTGCTCTTGGATTTGTCCCTTCACCCACAGAGAGAGAAGCAGTAGATCTGTGGAAAGACATAATGAACAATTAACAGCCTAGACTGGTCACCATTACAAATATAAAAAAAACTAACAACCCTTCTCTCCCAGAAAAAATTGCTCCAAATCATTTGCAATATGCCCTGAAAGACCTGCCCACAGAGACAAGCCAAATCAGAAAGTGTTTACACATTCCTGTTTCCAAAGTTTGTGTAACAGACTCTTTCACCAAGGATGATGCCATGCAGCAGGCAGACTGAAATCCACACGCTGCTGAGGAAGCACACACAATGGCTGAACTCCAGCCTCCAGGAGGGGGGAGGGGAAAAACACCATCACTGGAGAAACACGTCTCTTTTTCCAGAGACAAATAAGCCATTCTTTCCTAAAAATAAATGTTCTTTGGACATAAATAGACTTTGTTTAACTGGAGAACACTTAAGCCTCTGTCTAGGACAACATAAGCTAAAACTACTCATACTATTGCAAGTTCAAACACTCAAGCAACAAAGTTGTGTCAGGTCTTCAACTTCAATTCAAGCCAAGGACCTTAGAAGATTTACTAATTTTTCTCCTGCTATAAATTCTTCCCAATCTCCTGTTTTCAAGGAGCTGTAATAATCCCAAGAACAATCTTTGCAAGTTGTAATCTCCCATACTAAACTGGAATTCACAAGAAAATTTTCCAAATCCTGTATTAACTTGGTTTGTAAGCAGGGCAGACTCCCTGAAAAGTGAAAGCAAGTGCCCTCACACTGCTCCAGGACAGGGACACTGATAGAGTCCAAACTGTTAGTCAAACATCTGCTGTTTTCCATCTAAAGGACAAGGAAAACAGCAGAAGATTCAAGGCCAACAGTAAAAATGCTAGAGTAATTAAGCACATCTGCCTGGGGAGTGGGACTGCAGATACTGAAGAAGTGAGGCACTTGCATGGTCATTCTTTTCTAAAAAGTTTAATTACTTAAATGAAGATACCTTTAGAAGCCCATCTACTCAGCACATAAGTTCTATGTTAATTCTAGTTACCACCTTCCTATTTACACACTGCCTCTTCAGTTACCAGAACAATCCCATTGCTGATAACAGCTTCCTGAAGCCCAGCTCTATGAAAGTGAAATGTCACAATGCCCATCTGTTACCAGAAAAAGCATTACAGAGAAGCCTTTTTTGTTTTTCATTTCAGATAAAAACGATTACCACCAACAGAAGACACATGCTGCTTGTGTTCTGCTCCCTGGGACAGAGAGGGTAAGTGCCACGTGTCACATCTCCCACAAAACAACACAAGCATTCCTTCCCATTCTGTGATTTTGGTTATGAATAGGGAATTTAAGTGACAGCACGAAAATAGTTTGTGTGGGAATTGCACACTCAACCTAATGCTCTCCTTTCCTGGCACAGAAAGGCTTCTGTCCTGGGAAGAGATGGGAGTTTGTTCTCCTGACAGGCCTCCAGAGCACTAGGACCCTAACAGTGAAGTTAGCATGTTGTCATAGCTCTGGACATAACCTTGGCAGCCACATTCAAGTCAAAATTCATTTTGAGCACCTTGTCACCTGCTGACTATCAGTAGGTTTGTTTCAAGCCTGTTGGGAGCAACCAGGGATCAAACAAATCACAGAGGAGCACAGTTTGTTCAATCAGAATGAAGGCTTTCAGGGCCTAACCCTGTGCCATTACCTCATTCCTTCAAATTTAATAGCAAGGGTGTTTCCTTCAAGCCATTTGTGACTTAACTGTGTACCTGCCTTTGCTGTTCCTTACCCAGTTGTGTCAACTCTCAGCTTTTTGAATGCAGTCTGCAGGCTCTCCTCTTCTCCATCCTTAGCTTCCTTTTTCATTATTGGGACAGCCAGAAGGTGACAGTTACCACACCCTGCTACATGCAGAAAAACAGACATGAAAGCAAAACCTTGTTAAAAATGTTAGTTGCCCAGCAGCACCATAACACATGAAAATAAACCCAAAATAGCACACAGCTGAGGTCATTCTAGTAGCACATTTCTGCATGTTGATTCATAACAAGGCTTACAATAGCCAAGAATGGAGCAAACTGTTTCTTGTACAACTGCATAGGTGAGTTAGCAGTTTTTAGTAAAATTGGTGTTGACAGCATCTTGCACAGCCATTACAGCCCAGACAGACTCTTCTACTTGTCTTAGTGTTACCAGAATAGCTCCAAAAGAGGTGAAAGGTGAGAAGGAACAACACCACTAGAAACAGTTGACTTTCTACAACTGCTGTTCCCGACTTTGGGACTTGATGTTATATAGATACTTTAACTTAAGAAAAATTTGTTGGTCTGGGTTTTAAGTTTTAAGCTAAACGATTTTTTCATCTTAGGTCTAGATCCCAGCAAGAGTTACACAACAGCAGGAGTGTATCTATCAGAACATGGCATTTTCATTGCCATTGAAAACTTCTGGTATCAACTCTTGAACAAGTACAAATTCAAGTGAGAGTGCAAACAGTAAGCCTTGCTTTAAAATAAAAATAAAATTGATAAAAACCTGCCAATGTATTACTTATTTTAAAATTCACCCTGGCCACCATTTAATCTTGCTACAAGTAATATTTCTAAATATTTCTAAATCTGATGCTCTCCAGTGCCTTAGAGTTCTGCAGTCACATGCACAATTCCACTAAAAAAATCACTCAAAAAAGGTTTGCTTCCTCAGCACAGGCTTTGCTTTTGCTGAGCAGAAACCACTGACAATAGCAAGGCTCAGTTCCACACCAGACTACCTCAAGCTCAGTGCCTATTGAAGTCTACCAGGCTGATCAGCCTGCTTCATTGAATGCTTTTGACTTGACTCCTCCTGGAACAACAGGACCATTTGGTCTGGGGGCTGTTACTGCAAGAACCTTTGGCCACATGGTGCGGGTTGTGACAGCATCAGCTTCTCAGTCTGCTTTTAAATCACAAGGTTGTCATGCTTGAGAACATTGTACAATGAGACAGGTTTGGTAGACAAGTTTGGGACTGCTGAGGCTATTTTCTACCAGGACTTCAGTAAGGCTTTTGACACTGTCTCTCCCACAGGTCCCTCAGAGAAGGTGAGGAAGCACAGGCTGGATGATTAGCCAGCAAGGTGGAATGAAAAGGGGCTGGGCCCAGAGGGATCAGTAGCACAAAGTCTAGTTGGAGGCCAGTAACTAGTGGGGGTGAGCAGTGTGCCCAGTCCTGTTTAACACCTTGGTTGGTGGTGTGGGTGAGCTGGCAGAGTGCACCCTCAGCTCGTTTGCCACGGCGCCAAACCGGAATGAGCGGCTGCGGCACCAGCCTGGAGAAAGGGGCCAAGAACCTCATGAGCTTCAGCAAGGGGAAGTGCAAGGCCCTGCCCTTGGCAGAAACGAGCCCATGCACCTGCACAGCTTCCCAGAAAATGCCCTGGGGGTCCTGGTATTCCCCAGGTGGACAAGATCCAGCAATGTGCCCCCACAGCAAAGGGACTCACGCTACCTTGGGATGCAGGTCAAGGGAGCTGGATCCTTCCCTCTACTCAGCACTGGGGAGGCCACATCTGGAGTGCTGTGTCCAGCACTGGGCTCCCCACAAGAAAGGCACCAGCATACTGGAGAGAATCCATGGAAGGGCCACTATGATGGTGAAGGGATTAGAGCATCTCCCCTGTGCAGAGAGGCTGAGAGAGCTGGGACTGTTCCGCTGGGAGAAGAAAAGGCTCAGGAGGGATCTCATCAATGTATGTAAACAGCTGAAGGGTGAGGACCACGAGAACAGAGCCAGGCCCTTCTCAGTGGTGCCCAGTGCCAGGACAAGGCCATGGGCACACACCAAAACACAGGAGGTGCTGTCTGAGCTTAAGACAACACTTCTTTCCTGTTAGCAAGGGCACAGGCTGCTCAGGGAGGCTGTGGAGTCTCCCTCCTTGGAGATATTCCAAAGCCACCTGAACACAGTCCCTGGCAGCTGGCTCAGGGTGGCCCTCCACAGACCCCTGCCAGCCTCAGCCGTCCTGTGACCCTGTACCTTCCTGTGCTGCAGGAGCCCATTGCAAAAGTAACACCTGAACCCAGTAAATGAAACAACTCCTGCAACCAGAACACCCTTTGAGCACTAACTCCACCTAGTAATACACCAGTAACACCCACATTAGTTCTGCCAGCTACACACCAGCTTTCTGTAGTATGGAGAAGCAGCTTTGGTGAAGAGAGAGGAGTAACATGAACCTCTGCAGATCCAGAGTGGTAACTTCTGCTCCCTCCCAACCCCACTGCAGCTCGGGCTGGCAGCTCTGCCCACCGATGTCCCTGCTGCTGGCTCTGCTACAGTCTGAGGGGGCCGCCCTGCGCTGCTGACAGCTGCTGTGACACACGCAGCAGGATGATGCAGCCCAACAACCCTGAGGATCACCAGTGAGTCACAGCACGTAAACATGTGAGGAGGAAGCCAACACGACACTCACCTGAGCAAGCTGCTACTTTATAGAGCCTCTTCATGAAATACTACTGCTCTGCTGAAACACATACAGCCCTTAACTCACTAAGGTCCTAACTTCAGCAAGATTTTTCCTTAACTCCAAAACAAGATTCTTTAAAATAAAAAAATCAGTCTACAAGGTTTTTATTTAAAAAAAGCCCAACCCTGTATTACATAACCTTAACAAGAAGAGACTAAAAAGTTTTCAAATCACTGTATGTTATTCAAATCATAGGACCTGTTTTAGGCTAAATATTTTAGCAAGCTGCCCTTCATCAGTGACACAGTAAGCCCTCAAAACAACGCAGAATTTATTCTGACAAAACCCCCCTTACTCTGTGACAACCAAATACAGGCTTAAGCATTTTAGACACACCTGCCAAGCAGCATCGATATCAAGAAAACAATCACTGTGAAAAACAACGGAATTTTAATGTTGTGTCAAGAAACACCTTGAAACTTGTGTTCTTCATGTCCTACGAAAATAACCATCAGCCCTTTCCCGAATTATTTTCGGCTGTCTCCCAGTCCCGGAGGAGTCCGAGCCTCGCTCGGGGCGCTGCC